TAGTAGTAGTAGTAGTAGTAGTAGTAGTAGTAGTAGTAGTAGTAGTCGTAGAGTAGTAGTAGTAGTAGTAGTAGTAGTAGTAGTAGTAGTAGTAGTAGTAGTAGTAGTAGTAGTAGTAGTAGTAGTAGTAGTAGTAGTAGTAGTAGTAGTAGTAGTAGTAGTAGTAGTAGTAGTAGTAGTAGTAGGATTAGTAGTAGTAGTAGTAGTATTAGTAGTAGTAGTAGTAGTAGTAGTAGTAGTAGTAGTAGTAGTAGTAGTAGTAGTAGTAGTAGTAGTAGTAGTAGTAGTCGCAGCAGCAGCAGCAGCAGGAGTAGTAGTAGTAGTAGTAGTAGTAGTAGTAGTGGTAGTCGTCGTCGTCGTCGTCGTAGTAGTAGTAGTAGTAGTAGTAGTAGTAGTAGTAGTAGTAGTAATAGTATTCATAGTGGTCGTCGTAGTAGTTAGTCGTCGTCGTCGTCGTGGTGGTAGTTGTAGTAGTAGCAGCAGTAGTAGTAGTAGTAGTACTAGGAGTAGTAGTAGTAGTAGTAGTAGTAGTAGTAGTAGTAGTAGTAGTAGTAGTAGTAGTAGTAGTAGTAGTAGTAGTAGCAGTAGTAGTAGCAGTAGCAGTAGCAGTAGCAGTAGCAGTAGCCGTAGCAGTAGCAGTAGCAGTAGCAGTACCACTAGCAGTAGCAGTAGCAGTAGCAGTAGCAGTAGCAGTAGCAGTAGCAGTAGCAGTAGCAGTAGTAGTAGTCGTAGTAGTAGTAGTAGTAGTAGTAGTAGTAGTAGTAGTAGTAGTAGTAGTAGTAGTAGTAGTAGTAGTAGTAGTAGTAGTAGTATTAGTAGTAATCGTAGTAGTTGTCATCGCAGTAGTCGTAGTCGTAGTAGTAGCAGCTGTAGTTGTGGTAGTAGTCGTGTAGTAGCCGAAGTTGTAGCTTGCAGGTTCGTCGGCTTTCGGAGATAACCCCGACTCATTCGGCGGCCAGCCGGGGCGGGCCTCAGAAGGCTCGGACTCGAAAGCCCCCCTGGTCTCCTGAGGATGAGGAGAAGTTCGTTTTGTGCGCCTGCCCCGAAGACGCAGGAAGCTTCTCAGAGGGCGCGCGAGGGCCTCCGAGGAGCCCCACCGCCGTCTGGGGAGGCCTTTCCTTCTCACTGGCACCCCCCCACCCTCGCTCGCCGCCGATCCGTCCTCGCCCGAGCTCGCCTTCCTCTCCAGGCCTCCCGAGGACAGGGGGGCGTCGGACTGACCGCCGTGCGGGAGAATGCCAACGTGCTGTGGTACGCCAGCCACGCCCTCCGAGGAGCCAGCGGGAGAGGGGGGGGGTGCGGAGCGAGCGGGTCCGTGGCTCACCTGCCATGCCTCGGGCCGCTTGGACCGAAGGGGAAACACGCCATAAACATAGACTTAAGTCGGGCGTGTCCCTCTACAGGGGGGAAGTTCAAACATAGGGAAAAAGTAGTCTGGGCACTATTTGTTGATTATTTGGCCATTTTGGATTTTTTTTGGTATTTATTCTTTTACGGCGAAGATCCCCCTGTAGAAGGACACGCCCGACTTAAACATAGATTCTTGGCGCTCCGCGCGAATTTTTCGGATCCGCGCTGGCCCCCCTCCCCCCCCCGGCGGCGCCTCTGGCGCCGCCCCTGGCGCGCTCCGCGCGCCAGGGAGGGAGAGGGGAGTCCAGCGCAGATCCAGGAATTCCGCGCGGAGCTCCCAAAAGTCTGTGTTTCTGCTGCTCTTTCTTCCTCTGTTGGAGCCTCCGCCGCACAGTGAGCCCGCCGTCAGAGTACGTGCTTGCAGCCGCGCCGATCACTAAGAAGCCTGCCTTCTTCGCCCTGACTCAGCGTTTCCCGAGCGGTCTCCCAGGAGGCCGACCCGGCTTCGCAGTCCCCTTCAGGAGCGCGTGTCTGTACACGCAGAGTCGCAGAGTTGGCCCAACGTTTTGCGCAATCTGTTGCTCCAAAGCTGGCCCTGGTTTCTCGGGCGCGACTTTCCTTAGTGAGATCCTTGGCTGTATGCCTACCAGCCCAAAGCATATTCCATCTCTGCGATTGGCGTCACCCTATTTGGGTGCTGGTCTGAAGGGTTCCCTCCTTTTTGGAGGGCGCGTCCCTAAAACTTTCATCGCCCCCGGCCTGTGAATCTTGGGGATCGGGATGAGCTCGATGCTGGTGTTATTGTCCATGCCGACTTTTTCGGTGTCGTGACCCGGGACCTCGAGGAGTGGTGGACATGGATACTTGCCTGCCCCTGCTGGCGGGCAAGCACCCGTACCCGCCGGTTCCCAGGCACGCAGTGCAGGTTTCAAGAAGTAGCGGATGTAGAGATGCTTCTTGACAAGGTGTGCCGGCGACTCGATTTGGTCGGTTGCTTCGCAGTCTGCTGCACTCGGTCGGTTCGGTTCGGACGGTTGTTTTGCCGATGCGTTCTCAAGGTTGCTTTCGATCTTTCGGTTGCGGCCAGTTTCGTTCTTGCAGTCGATTTGGCCAGTTTTCGGTCTTGGTTCACAGCGGACGTCTATACGCGCGAGGATGCGCGCGCACGGCAGGCCTGGAGTCTTCTCAAGATTTTGCGTGAGAGATGGCACAGGTGCCGTAGGATACCACGTTGGCCAGCGTGGGCCCCAAACAGTGTTTTTCGGGAAAGTACGCGGTGCAATTTTCGCGGTGCAGCCAATGTGGTGCAACCCAGGTGACGCAGTCTATGTCGTGCAATCTACGTGATGCAAAGCAACGCGCAGCAATGCAGCACAATATGACGCAATGCAAAGCAATGCAAAGCAATGCAGCGCAATACAAGGCGATGCAACACAATGCAAAGCAATGCAAAGCAATGCAAAGACATGCAGCGCGATGCAACACAATGCAAGGCAATGCACAGCAATGCAGCGCAATGCCTCGTAATGCCTCGCAATGCAAAGCGGTGCAAAGCACTGCAACGCAAGGCATTGCAGATGAGCGCAAAGCAATGCAACGCAGTACAAAGCACCGCAGCGCATTGCACAGCAAATGCAACGCAGAGCTGTGCGCAAAGCAGTGCGAAGCAGCGCGAATAGCAACCCAACGCCCCGGCACGCAGAGGCTCTGCGTGACTACCAGCGGAGGCGGCGGCACGCAGAGGCTGCTGCAACGACACCCGTTGAGCTGCCCGCCCTCAGCATCGTTTAGCACACCCCTGCGGTAGGTTCGGGCCGTGTCGACCGGCGGCGACCCCGCCAGCGGCGTTCAACGCTGAGCGCCGCGGGCGACCCAGAATCGTTCGATGCGGAACGATTGGGACGTTTCGGAAACGGCCGATCGTTCAAGGTTGAACGATCCCCACGGTGTCAGAAACCCACTCCGAAGTCGGCACGACACGAACCTGACGCAGCCCCACCAAGCCACGGCATCTCAGCCGCACAATCTCAGCACCCCAGGTGGGGATATGCCTTTCGAAGCCCGAAGGGGACAGCCTATATCGCCATCTTGGGTGGCACATCAGCCAGTGAGGCCCAGGCCACGCCCGTGGGGATAGATCTTGGTTAAACAACGACCGTTTCCTCTCCCTCATCCGCGGCCGTTCTGCTCCTACCCCTGACCTGCTGGTGCTCACTTCGCCAGGCTGCGTCCCCGCTGAGGCTTCGTTCGCCCTGCGCGAGCGCCATCGCCGCGACGAGCAACATCCACAAAAGCCCAGTTGTGTTCGCCGATGGCGTGCCTCCCTGAGAGGGGCAGAAACGGCCGAGCACACAAACTCTCGCAGCTCCGCGCGGATTTCTCCGAGCGGCGCCGGGCCCCCCGGGAGCGCGTCGGGGATGGCGGCCGAGGCGCCGCCAGGGGGCTCCAGCGCCTGCCCAGCCCAAGGAAGCCAGGCGGAGCTCCGAACGCTTATATCTTTCTGCCGTGGCCCCTCGCGCTCCGCCCCGTGCGCAGGTGCGTCTCGCAGCTCACACTGCTGCCTGGACGCCCGGGCACCTGAGATGCATTATCAGGTCCACCGTGAGCACTAGTGTTCAGTCGGGCACGTCCCTCGACAGGAGGAGTTTCCAAGGGTAGTCACACATAGTCTGGTGACGATGTTTCGCGCATTTTCGATGATGTCATGTGTTTGTGTTTGTGTATTTATATATATATATACCTACCTACCTACCTACCTACCTACATACATACTTACATTTATACACATATATACACATACATGCATGTATGTATGTATGTATGTATGCATGCATGTATGTATGCATGTATGTATGTATGTATGTATGTATGCACGCATACATACATACAGCCATACGCACACACGTACATACGTACGTACGAGTGTTCATGCATATAAGCACACATACAGACACACATACACACATACATACATACATGCATGCATACATACATACATACATGCATGCATACATACATGCATGCATACATGCATACATACATACATGCACACATACATACATACATACATAACTACACACATACATGCACACGCATACATACATACATACATACATACATACACACATACATACATACATACATACATACATACATACATACATGCATGCATACATACATACATGCATACATACATATACACATACACACATACATACACACATACACACATACACACATGCGTACATGTACACATGCATACATGCATATGTACATACATGCATGCATACATACATACTTACACACAGATATACACATACCAACAATCGTACATACATACATACACCCATACATACATACATCCATACACACATGCATGTATGCATGCATGCACGCCTGTATGTCTGCATGCATACATACACACATACACACATACACACATACGCACAGACACACATACACATACATTCATTCATTCATACATACATACATACATACATACATACATACATACATCCATACATACATACATACATACATACATACATACATACAGCCAACCATGCATGCATGCATGCATGCATGCATGCATCTTGTTTCCGCTTGTAGGTGGACATGCCCGACCTAGCACACTACGGTGAGTGACCCACCACACAGCCGCGCGCTGTCCACCGCAGCCTCGCCTGTTGCCCCCCCCCCGCGCCGCCGCGGCCGGCCGCCTGCCCTCTGCCGCTGAGCCCCCGGGCCCCGGCGCCCGTGCCGCGGTGCCCCGCGCCGCGGCCCTCTGCAGGCCCATGGCGGCGCCCAGCGCGGCGGCGCGCGCGGGGGGGGGCAGGGCCGGGCAGGGGGCTCATCTCGGTTCTTCCGACCCGATTCGCTTCGATCTCGACCGATTCCGATTCCGATTCGGTTTTCGGCTTGGGATTCCAATCTGGATGCCGATTTTTCTCAAATGAGTCCTACTATAGCCTGCCAATTTCCGCCGACTCGGCTTTTCCCGACTCGGCTGCCGATTTCCGCCGATCCGATCCATGTCGCTCGCCGATCCGATTCATCGATTCGATGTTGGGCTCTCCTGGGGCCAGGTGCCGAACTCGGGGGCAACGACAGGGAGGGCATGGGCTCAGAGGGGGACGCTCGGGCCGGAGGCTTCCGAGGCTTTCGGGCGGTTTCGTGGGCTCTCGGCGGCTCTCTGGCCTCGGGAGGCGCTCCAGCAGCTGCGCCTCGCCCAGAGCGCTCTGGGGCTGCCCAGATCCCCCCGGGCGGCCGGGACGGGGAGGGGCTCAGGGGGGAGGCATAGGCCCCCAGGCGCCCAATGGATCGCCGAGGGGGGCCCGCGTGCCCGCCCCGCCGAGGAGCGTGCGGTTTCGAACACCGGGGGCCCATCACCGATCCATCGGGGATGCATCGCCGATTCCAGGCCGATGTTCCCCCCCCCTCCCTGTTCCAGTTCCCCCCCCCCTGTCGTCGCCTCTCGCGCACGAGCGGGGCCCTGAGTGCGGCAGGTCCGCGTCGTGCCGGCGCGGCGGCGATATCATAGTCGGGCGTCGAGCGAGCCCCCCGCTGGACCAGTGGGCCGAGGAAATCCGCACCAGTGGCGAGGCTCTGGCAGGGGCCTCGGCGATGCCTCGGCGACGTCGGCGATGCATTCGGCGACGTCGGCGTGGGGAAGCTCGGGCTCCACATCGAGCCGCGTCGCCGATACGTCGACGATGCGGCGCGATCCTCCGGCCCGATCTACTCGGACCCCATCTATTCGGGTTGCGCGCCGACAGCCTCCCCAGGTAGTCCAGGATGCTCCAGCAGGCCCCCCCCCCCCCCTGTAGTAGCAGGTGTCCTCAACAGGCGGAGAACTCGGTGGGCCTGTTGAGGCCAGCTGGGATGGGATTAAGTCGGGCGTGCCCCTCTACAGGAAGAATCATTAAAAGTTGTCAAAACATAGTATGAGAACGATTCTATCATTATTTTTCCAGCCATTTTTGAACATTTGTTGATTATTTTTATTTCGTCCAAAGTCCGCCTGTAGGAGAACATGCCCGACCTAAAGCGGAGACTATTCGGGGCGCCTGTTGAAGCCAGCCGGAACTACCTTAGAGGGCTGTCCGTGCGCAAGCCGAAGCCTTTTCCAAATCGGGCACTGAGAGAAGGCCCATCCAGACAAGTCGACTGAGGAAATCTGCACTGGCTCACTCGACACTGGCATTCGAGTGTGCTGGTGCAGTCCGCCGCCGGTTTCGCTAATCGACGCCCGTTTCGCTGGATGCAGCGGGTTGTTGCTGGACGTCCATGAGCTACCCCGCTTGGGTCTACTGGGAATGGCGATGCCGTGCACGTGCGGAGCGCCCCTGGTAGCTTTGACCACAGGGCGTTTTGCGAAAGGGTATTCCGTTAATGTTCGACACAAGACGGGTTTCAGGGCGAACTCGCCGCCAGCCCAGATTCAGCTCGGAGGGCCTCGCTTGTTCCAGGCTGAAGGGCCCACGCGGTGTCAGAAGCCACCGCGCAAGTCGTCACGACGCGAACCTGCCGAAGATGGGGTCGGAGGATCGTGCCGCATCGCCGATGCATCGGTGATGCGGCTCGATGTGCGCCCCGATTTCCTGCATGCCGGCGTCGCCGATGTA